ATAGATAAAAACCATATAGCATTCTCACGTCTTTGTAAATTGTGTTTTAATTGTGTAGCTAAGCAGACACACAACAGAAATGTGTTATAAATTCCAATACTTTTATTAGTGAAGATATGAATAAACAAATATTATTTCCTTATTTTTTTTTGTTTCCAGGAGTTTAAATTTTTCTGAGTCTAAAATGTCCTTTACAAACAAAAATTATAACTTGAATCATTATTTTTAGTAATTCAAATTCTTCTTGTGAGAATTTTACTAAATGGATTATTTTAAAAATCCATTGCATACCGTGATGTTTACCCAGTGACACTGGGCAAGATATTTAACTTTACATGAATTCAATTCCTTTTTCTTTAAGAAACTTGTCATTCTGTTGGTACTGGTCTTGCCAGTGGCATTCACCATATCATTTACTTATTATAATAACCCCTGTGGTAGCTATTATTAGTATCCACATAAAGGAATGAAGAAACCAAGCATAAAAATTATAGTTATCTGCCCAACATTATTCAGTTAATGAGTGATAGATCTAAAACTCCATCTCTGGTTTATAGTACCAATAACTTTGCTGTACAAGCTCCCTCAGTAAAGATGGTATCAGCTTGAAGAACTCCAACAAAGAATGAGAACACCTATTCAAATTATTTGGGAGAATAATTCCTGTGTCAGGCACTTAGCCAAATCCATTTGATGTATAACATATTATGGGATTGGGACACAATCTGAACTTTTAGTGTGGTATATCTACAAGATAAATCTCACAATATTCTCCGAGATGTACATTGCAATTTATATAGCAAGTTTCATGTATTATCATAGATAGACACAGTCTGTCATTTTTCTTACGGTTAATGAAGACAGTTCATTCTGCAGGTATAGTGGAAATTGGAGTCTCAGTAGAACATAGAATATCGCTCCATGTTCCCTTCAATGGCTCATTTTCCCCCACTAGTAGGTCTTGCTTTTCTCCAGATATTTCTATAATAGACTAAAAGCAGAAAATTAGACACAGATTCACTTAGCAGAGAAAAACCTCCCGACTTGCACAGCCGTACCAGACTTTTATTTCCAAAAAATACTTTGTAGCCCAAATCACCTTACGTGTTTTGTTTTTCTTGTCGAAGTCAGTCATCCTCACATCTGGGAGAGCATTAGATCAACAACCTGCCACACCCCTAAATCCTTACTCCTGAATACTGTCTTGTGCCATTACTGCTCTGCTAAGTTCACTGACCTTGGTTTAGCAATGGCAGCTGATATTCCACTTAGGCTGTCACAATTTAATTCATGGCCTCTAGAGGACAGCAGGGAGATCAGTTTGAACGTCACAAAATATTTTAGCAGGACACCAGGGGGCAGCATTTCAGCCAAGAACTGCTAAAATTCTGGATACCTGGAATGTGCTTCAAACTGATTCTCAAGGAAGGAAAAGAAATTTAGGCACAGGTTTCATAAGATGGCGACATTCATGTGAAGACATAAAGCGCAGAGGTGAAACACACAAATATTGGGGGAAAGCGTTACAGGCACAGGGGGCAAATCGAGAGCAAAGGTCCTAATACAATTATACTGTCTCAGGGATATCTTCTCCAGCCTCTTACACTTCCCAGCACACTGCTGCAGGAAAGACTCCTTAAGGCATTAGTATCGTATTACTGAAGTAGTTAAGTGTTCATTGGTAACTGCTTAGCTGATTTTAATCTATTGATCAATAGGCAATTTTCACCTAGGTTTGACATCGTTTTTTCTCTTCCTTTTGGGCTTGCGCTTAACACAGTAGTGTCCCCATCCCTGGGGCATATCTATCACTTGCTCTCTGTCCACTGTTCTTCTATAGCCCCAGCCTATGCCCCAAATCCTTAGGAACCTCTCAAATGTTGCTGCCTGGTCAACAACAAAGGCAGAGATGCTCTTCAAAATTAATAAAAGTTACGTCTCATTTCCCAAGCATTAAAAATAGGGACAATGACATCTGTATTATAGGAACGTGATGTTAAAATTAAATAGATTCTGAAAAAAATGTGTAACATTGTGTCTCCCATGTAGCAAGCTCAATATCAAATTTCATTTTCTTGGTAAAACTTTTCCTTCAGTGTGGCTCATTCCTGGGTTTTCTTCTCTCTGCATGGATTAAAAGAGGGAGCTTTCAGAAAACTGAGTTAGCCCTTTCCCTGGAAGCACTCACTAAATTTTGCTACCCTTTTGTGATCATTTTCTCCTGAGTACATTATCTCACACACAGTGCTAAAAAATAAAATGAAGATGGAACATGTACACGGTGTTTCTATTTTCATTTTCCTGAGATGTAATGATATTAAGTCCTTTTTTCTATGCTCATTTGCTATTCTCATATATCTGAAACAGCTAAGTTTTCATCATTTTGATTGGCGGTCTCATTGATTTTACAAATGTTTGATATATTCTGCATTTGAGTCTTTTTTCAGAAAGAGGCACTGCACAGTCGCTGGTCTTCATAAATGGCTGTGCCCCCAGCTACTCGAGAGGCAGGAGGCAGGAGGATTCCTTCAGCTCAGGAACTTTAGGACACTTTGGATAGTACAGTGAAACTACATAGCTCAAAATTATAATAATGAGGAAGAGAAACACATACTACAAATATAGCTTTCCAGTCTCTGAATGGGCTTTTCACCATTAAGAGTGTGTGTGTGTGTCTGTGTGTGAGTGTTTTGTTTTTAATGAGAAATAGCCTGGCTAAATTTCCTCTGCTGACTTTGAACCTGCAATTCTTCAGCCTCAACTTCCCAAGTGGCTAAAAGTCTGTGAGTCGCTGAAGCTATAGGCACACGTCAATATGCATGGCTTAAGTGAGAGTTTTTCATCGGGCCAATTTAACACGTATTTGGTGTTCATAGAAAGATAATTTAAGAGTTTATTTTTTGTTACACACTTTTCCTTGTGGATCCCTACTGCTCACAAGAAGTCAGGCATAATCCTGAATTTGTTTCTCAGAACACAGTGCATGAATTTTCTCTGGATGATGCAAAGATTTTATTGAAATTTTTCGCTTTCAACACTCAAATATGGACTTGCAGTTGCCTGCTTGTAACACTCCAGGTGAAACAGTGTGGAGGGCTGACAGTTACTTATTCAGACTCCTGGTATTCTGTACAGCATTGTCCAAACTGAGGAGCTTGTTTTACAAAATGTCAGCTCAGTCAGTCAGGTGTTTGTTATGAGCAATGAGATGGTAAAACAGTTATTTATAAAAATGACCTACAATTTTGTGACCATTTGTGCAATGAAGAACAGTAATAGTCATGGAATGTGCATTTCATTTTAAAATGAATGTCTATGTATATAGTGGCAATGGTTTCCTCTCCCCTCTTTTTATCTGCATTTAGTGGTATAAGATATGCTAAGGAGAGAGAATCTTATATCTCATTGTATCTTAGTACTGTATTAAACTACAGAATGTCAATGAAAGAGTACGTCTCAGAAAGAGATGACCATCGCCTTAAAAAAATGGATGCCTTAAAAAAAACTGCATGCTCTTTGACAACTGGGTTTCATCTTTTTGATAGAGCGGCAAATAGCTGTGTCACATTAGCAGGAAGCACGATTGTTCTATTGTTTCTTTTTAACTTTTAAGTGTTGTTAAAAGAGGAAGATATGCCAAGTTTGGGAAGCAGGTACTGTGGTAGCCTTGTACTGTACCAGCTCTCTGAGAATATATTTCCCACAATTTGATTGCCTGTGTTGTTCTCTCTCTCTCTCTCTCTCTCTCTCTCTCTCTCTCTCTCTCTCTCTCTC